TCTAGCTTGTGTTAAACTGACACGAAGCAGCCAGCACAGATAGCTCTCAGACTCTGATGCTGCTGCACGCATTGCTCTCTCCTCCTCCTTTTCTTCTGACCTGGTACAGGGGTGATAACGGCATCTACTACAGCTCTCCCGGTGCAAAGGTCTGTGCAAAGGAGGCATTGTCTTCAGACCTAAGTCCCAGGAAGAGCATGCTTTTCTGCTTGAAATCAAAATCACTTTCCCTATAGAAAAAAATGTCAGTGTTACTTCATTTTACGTATTGCTGGCTGTATTGGCCTCTAGGAAAGAGGGAGGAGGAATAGAGAGAAAACAGAAAGATGAGAAGAAGATAAAGGGAAGAGGGAAGTGGGAAGAGAAAAGGATGGCAAAATAATGCATTAAAATATCTCTACTATACACACACATACACAAATACACAGACATAGGTATTGGCTGTATAGTGTATCATCATTTTTAGCCATCTGTGTTGAGATATAGTTTCTGGGTCATACGATTTACTTGTTTATGTTATATAATCTTGAATACTCTTTCAGGTTCTTTGGGAAATATGGGTTGAATGAAGTCATATACACACATTAAATAATACCAACTTCTAAGCACTTGAAGCTCCGAGCAACCAGATATGGTGACCTAGATCTAGGGAGTTGTGGCTGCTTTTCCTCACTCAGATCTGCTAACTCACTTGGTGAACAAATAATGGTTTATTGTTCACTGTGTGCTAGATGTTAGAAATACAAGCAATGGCAAAATATCTGGCCTCACAGAAGAAAAGCTAAGGCAAATGATCAGTGCAGTACCCGCTGTGGAAGGTGCCACAGGGAGATGGGGAGACAGCTCTGTGTCTTCTGCACAAGCATGAGGACCCGAGTTCGGATCCCAGGGACCTCCGTAAAAGCCAGGCACAGCAGCATTCATCTGTGACCTCAGCAGCTGGGGTGAAGATGGGTGGACACAGGTAGATCCCCAGAGCTTGCATCTCTAGAGCTCAGCCGCCAGTAAAGCTAGCCAAAATTGTGAGCTCTGCGTTCAGTGAAAGGCCCTGCCTCAGAAAACTAAGGAAGGGAGCAAATGGTGGAAGACACCTGAGCAGCCTCTGGCCTCCACAAGTACACTCATGCGTGAACACACCTACACATGCATATGTGCTCACACCATGCATGTGCACACACATATACACGCAAAAGAAAAGCTCCGTGCAGCGAGATGACGTGGTTGGTGTCCATGACATGAGCACTGCATGCTTAGACAAGGTAGGCAGTCAGGACCCTGCTGGGGTTACCATGGAGTGTGACCAGACAATAGGAGGTCAGAGAGCAGATGCTTGGATGCCTACGAGAGGGGTATTTTGTTCTATGTGCTACTGGAAGACGGGAAGGTTTCGAGAAAGCGGAGTGATAGTAACTGGCGGGTGTTTTTCAAGCATCATTTGTTGCATGGAGCGCCGTGCATGTGGAGCTTGGGAGTAGAAGGAGTGGAAGCAGAGCTGGTCAGAAGCAGCCATGGGAGCTTGGTGCGAGGATGAATCATCCCCCGGCTTTCCTCGGGAAAGATGATAGACTTAAAATTCTACCCACTGTCCTCCCTTTCATTCTCCTAAAAGATGCAACCTCAAATTCTGACACTGGTATATGTGAAGGCCACCTTTCTCAGACATAAGGGCTTTGTGAGTGCCATTGAGTTTAAGATGAGGTCGCTCTGGATTAAAGTGGGTCCTAATGAAACGTGACCTTGGACACAGACACAGGACAACAGGAAGGAACACTGTGTGAAGAAAGGGTGGAAATTGGAGTGACCCATGCATCTATAAGCCAAGGAGTGCTGAGGCTTGCTGGCAGCTGCCAGAAGCTGGGGGAAGAACACAGGATGAATTCTTCCTTAGCCCTTAACAGCAGCCGACCCTGCCAACATCTTGACTTTGGACTGCTGGCCTCCAGAGCTCTGAAAGGATATGTTTCTGTTCGTTGAAGCCACCTCGTGTTTTGTTCTTTGCTGTGCCCACCCTGGGAGACAGTCCAGTGCTGGTGTTAAATGTTCATCATTTGTCAAACAGTGCTGAGTCAAGTAGCATTTTATACACATCCTGCCCCATATGGTTCCCGAGACCACCAACTGAAGATTTTTGGCATGCCCATTTGACAGATTAGAAAACTGAGGCTCAGAAACCTGAGTGGATTTCCCAATGTCACACAGCTACTTTATGGCTGATCTTGGATATATACCAGGCATTCTAACTCAAATCCACACATTCACCATTGCAGAGCACTATCTGCTCTGTGGACAGAGGCCAAGATGCTGGGCACACCTCACCATTGGGATCCACAGCAAAGTTCATCACCACAAACTTCCCACCAGGGAGCCCTTGGGCTGCTTTTCTCTGTTTTATTTGCTGTCACTGGAGTTCTGCTATTTATCACATCTCTCCCTGAAGATTCTTGGGTAACAGATGTGGCTTAGAATTTGATAAGAACGTTACTTCAACACATCCTTCCACTCTGTGTGGAATCCTCACCCTGGAGATGCAGGGACAGCTGGGCAAACAACCCACACCCTCTGTGCTGGCATTAAAGTTTCTGGAAGCTCCAGGAACTGCTGGATGCAATTAATAGGAGATTTATTTTCACTTCAGGAACACGGGGGAATGTGGCCATGGCCATTGCTAGTTCTGGCTAATTATTTGCATTTTTACTTTTGCTGTCTTTGTTTCCCATGTAAGCATAACCTAAATGCCTGGAATATGCCAGGCAGTGACTAGAGTCTTAAAAACAGTTAGCAAACGTCAGCTTAGGTGTAAAGAATAATGTGGAAGAGGCACGCGAGGGCAGTGAGGGGGCTTAGTTGTGTCATCCTGCCATGGTCCTGGATATTGTCACTGCCTGCTGCTCCATGAAGGACAGACAGGAGGGTCCTGGAGACTGTGATCAATGTCTGGGTGCTGCAATCTCTCCTCCCATCGCTGGTCCTTTTCATCACTCCCATCCAATCCAGATCACCTCGCTGTTCCCTGTGCTCTTCCATCCCAGCTTTCTCTGCAACCAGAGAGCAGAAAATCCCACCTGCTTCCCATTCTCTGCCTTGGGACATTGGTTTCCTTTGGTCATCATCCCTGCCTTGGCAAGGCCTGGAACCCTGTAGCTGGATTGCCACCTAAGCCAATACCTATTTTGAGGACTGAGACAGTGCCACATAGGTAACAGCCACCAAGACGGGAAGCTCTGAAGAAGAGAGCAGGCCCACTGTAGTGGAACTGTGTGCCAGAAGTCTTCTTTCTAAAGCATCCTACATGGCCCCACGTCTGTAGTGCCCGTGGGCGCCACTGACCGCAAGGTGAGAGGAGACAATAGAATCAAGAGGCTGGGTGAGCTCAAGAAAGCTGTTGAGAGTTTGTGTGTGGATGCAGGACCCTGGGAGCTTCCGTGCTGGGTCTGGTTGGACTTTTGCCTGTTAGGACAGGAGCTGAGCGGGTATGCTGACCTACCTGTAAGCTCCTAGATGGCCATCCCTAATCCATCTGGCCTCAAGTCTCTGTTGCATTCTTTTGTTCACCTGTGCCAGGAGACTTAGTCTTAATCTCGTAACTTCTTTGAGGCTTCTTCTGAGGTTCAAGTGAAACGTTTAAAGCAGAAACTTTGGGTCAGTGAGATGCCTGCATGGGTAAAGAGTTTGCTGTGCAAACCTGACATTGTGAGCTTGATGCCCAGACCCCGTGGAGAAGGAAAACCAACTCCAGAGAGTTGTTGTCTGACTTCCACATGTGTTCCATGGAACATGAGCACCTGCACACAACACACGTAATAATAAAAGAATAAAGACAGGAACTTTGAACTGTAAACCTGAGTTCAAATCCTGCCCTTGCTCTGAGTGGCACTCTGGCAGGCTCCTTAGCCTTCTATGCCCCAGTTTCTTATAAGGTTCAAAGCAGCATCGGCTTCCTAAATAACAAATGAAAATCAACAATTGCTTGATACACTGATAAGTACTCAACAATATGGTGCTGACGAATGTTGCTTACAAGACAGATAACACAGTACCTTTAGCAAATATTCCAGTCAGATCACTTCTTCCTCAGGGAGGCCTTCCCAGACAGGGCACGTCTCCTTGGAATGTTGTTCAAGCCTTTGCTTCTCAAGAGCCTCCTTGAGAATATCATGCACTGGGCATAGTTCCTCTGACATGGTCAAGACCAAGGATAATAATGACACAATGAAAATAACATTGTGTCCATAAGCCACCTGGTTTGCTGGCCCTGCTTATGACCACAGCTGGTAGGAAGAGGCCCTAGGACAGCAGGTAAGGCTGATACAATGGGTCATTGACTATTCCTATAATTAGCTGTCTGATCCCTTTTCCTCCCTGAGTTCAGGGTCAAGGAATGTACCTGCTTGATTCTTGCTACATTTCCAGCAGGCTCTTACAGAATAGGACACACTAAGGGAATACAGGAGTAGGTGTCTCAATTCCAGGTTTTTTTGTTTATTTTACATCCCAACCACAGTTTCCCCTCCCTCATCTATTCCCATTCCATCCAGCCCCCCCATCCACTCCTCCTCTGTTTCTTTTTAGAAAGAGCCAGACCTCGACTCGAACCCAGTTTTACCAAGCTGGTACATCATTCATTGATTCTTTTGTCCTTAGTATTTACTGATCAGCTAGCACATGTCTGATGCTTTTGAAGATTTGAAATTATGCCAGTGATTAAAATAAGACACTGATACTTGATTCCAAGGGGTGATTATCATTCTAACAAGTTGACTGGTATTGTTACTGATGAATGTCCCAAAGGGTTCAATACATTCTCATCTTTCCTAGAACCATCTTCCATTGATAGGACTTGGACATTAAAAGTGTTAGGTGGCTGCAAAGTATTATCCATTGTCCCTAGTTAACACAACATTGTCTGTCCAAAGCTGGAGAAAGTTTGCATGATTCTGGATACCCATGTTTGTCCCACAGGCCTCTTCTAATGATGCTTATGTACTTGGTGTCTTTCCCAGGTTATGCTCTCAGAGCGGAAGGGCACAGATGAGCTCTATGCTGTGAAGATCCTGAAAAAGGATGTGGTGATCCAAGATGACGATGTGGAGTGCACAATGGTGGAGAAGCGGGTGCTGGCCCTGCCTGGGAAGCCACCATTCCTGACTCAGCTCCATTCCTGCTTCCAGACCATGGTAACTGGTCCAGTGCTCTGGGAAACTACTTCAGGGTTTCCATAGGGTTTGATCAGTAACGCTGTCTTAACAGTAATCATCCCAAAGAGATACTGGGCACTTTGCCTTGTAGAAGGTGAAGGATGCTGGCCCCACAGAAATCAGCTAACAATTCCCAAGGTTGCCACTGAACGCTGTCCCCCAGAGTACATGCTGTCCCAACTCAAGCAAATCAAGCCAAGCCTTTTCTAACATTAAGGGGTGACTTGGGGACAGGGAATCAGCAAAATTTATAATTTGTACTTCTAGATAGTTACAGTCATCTCTCTCAATTCTTTGGAGGAGCGTGTGTACATCTCTGCAGGTTGCCTAAGGTCTTTGCTGGGGGCCTTTACCGAGAAGGATTTCCTGAGAGCACAAGCCTAAGAGGGCATCCGAGGCTGGGCACAGGGTTGCAGGCAAGGACTGGTGAGCTCAGAACATGGCTTCCAGGATGAGTTGGGGACATTCATGCGCTCTCCGCTGCTTCCCCTGCAAGAGCAAGATGTTGTTTCAGTGGGTCCTGACCTTCTCTGGTCCTGTTAGATGTTGGCCTCTAATGCCCAGGAGAAGAGGCCAGAGCACAAGTGCAAATTAAGAGTTCATTCCTGCAGATGTGATTCTGTGAAAGGCCAACAGCCTTGAGACTTAAAGATGCTTTCAGGGATTTGGTAGGATCCTTTTGGACCCTCCAGCTTTCAACCGGCACACTGATTTTAAATCTCACCCTCTGGGTGAGATAGGGCGGAGGTTGTTGTATTCTGCATCTAATTTAGTATACCTTTTGTTGCTGATCTAGTTGAGCACCCAAAGCCCTCCTGTCACCTTCTTTGATCTGCTGAAATTCTGGGCTACTTGATCTGTAGTGTTTTCAGTCTGGGGTTTGCTTATCACAGTCTCACAGCATCTTTGCATGCCTCCCTGCACTTTCTGCAAATTGGCAGTGGGTCTAGAGACTTGGTCAGACTCGGCTTCTATCCCTTAGTAATACTGTAGATTTCCTATGCAATCTGTCACCAATGACAGGTAATGCTCAAGGATCTTGGTGATGCTGGCCTGACTGATGCTCAGCACTAAGTCCATTCACTCATTGGAGATTATTAGATGGGAATGTCTGCTTTGCATTTACTAGCTGCAATGCTTTTATGAAGAGTAGCTTCCTCTCATTTGCTCCCTGGTGATATGGTTCATACAGAAAAGGCAGAATTGATGCTTTATTTCTTCCCCCTTTTAAGCTTCAGGATAATTAGTTGGTTTACAACTGTGCTTGAAGGGGGACTTAATCTTGCTTTTTGAAGTTAACTTTTAAGGAAAATTGAGAGTCACTGTAGATAAAACTGTAAGTGAATGGTAATTTCTGTTGTATGGGTGCTTGGTAAAGATCAGTTACAAAAGAAGTCAAATGTTGCTAATGTTACTGTGCAGAATTCAGGTCAGAAGGGGTTTACATGTTAACAGAGTCAGCACGTAAACCATGAGATTCTCCTCCCCCTTTTCCATGACTGGTTTCTAAAATGACTCATGGACATCAGTGTGTGAATGAATGACAGACTGCCTGGTAACCAGGTCAGTAGCAAACTTGGAGCTACAGTTGCAGTTTCAGTTGGGTGTGTCAAGAAGGGGAGGAATGAGTCATTTGTGACTAATATTCATTAAAGGATAGCATCTTCATCAGTAATGAACTGTTTTGAAAATGGCAATGTGGAGTGGATTTAAGGTTATTTTTTATAGTAAGTGCCCCCCCCATCTGTGTTTCAGTTTTCTGACATTATCAGGAGCTGCATCCATGTGGCAACAGTACCAAGCACTAGGTTTTCCTCCAAGAGTTATCACATGCCAGGAAAAAAGGAGTGAGAACTGAGAGTCAATGGAATATTGTCCTGCTTAGGGAGAGGTTCTATGACTCCTTCCAGGCAGTCTCCCACTTCAGAAAGCCAAGGGATGCAACAGGCAACTTTCTCACCAGGTGACTATAAGATGAAATAGTTAGTTAATCTCTAGGGGCTATGTTTCGTGTTGTGGTGGGGTGGGGGATGCTTGGAGAAATCCATTTGCTCTGAGCAAAAGGCCTGGTGAGACCTGTTGAGAGAGTAGCAGACATTCAGCCTTCTCAGCCGTGTTCAGACAGACACCCAGCCATCTTAGCTGTGTCCTGTGCATCATTGCATAAAATGTCCCCAACTTATGTTATTTTCTTTATTTAAAATACTATTGTTTATTTTTCATGTTTTGTTTTTTGAGAGAGGGTTTCCTATGTATTTTTGTCTGTTCTGGAACTCTTTATGTAGACCAGTCTGGACTCCAATTCAAAGATATCCATCTGTGTCTACCTTCTGAGTTCTGATATTAAAGGCACGTGTCATCATATCCAGTCTAATTTTTAAAAACTGTGTGTGTGTGTGTGTGTGTGTGTGTGTGTGTGTGTGTGTGTGTGTGTGAATTGTGGAGACCAGAAGAGGGTATCAAAGACCCTGGAGCTAGAGGTACAGACAGTTGTAATTGCCCTAGTATGGGTTCTGGGAATTGCACCTGGGTTCTCTGGAAGAGCAGAAAGTCCTTTTAACTGCTGAGCCATTTATTCAGTCCCATTTTCTTACTTTAAGCCAAGTACATGTATTTTAATTTTGCATAAACTAAATATAATAATGCCCACTCTATGTATGGCATGGGAGTTGCAAATTTAAGCTCCTTGACGACTCTTAGATGGACCCTAATATCATAAGCATTTACAGAATAGGGAAACTGAGGTCACACAGTAGGATATGCCAGGGCCAATATTTAAAACAAGGCAGAGTAGCTGTAGTACCAACACACTAAACTAAACATATACACCAATACACAAGGAGGTCTTTTGAGTGTAGATGACCTGGCTATCATTCTACCTGACAGCTCTCAGTTGGAATTCCCAACACACAAATGTCCCCATCTGGGCCTGAGCTCCACACAGCCTGACCCTCCCACCTGCTCTGTAAAAGCTCAAGTTTCCAACCCGTTGGTTTTCTCATCCCTGGGGTGAAACTGACTTTCTACTGGAACATTTAACATGTATGACTCTTTAGAGATGTTTTCTTCCAGCCACAAACAGATGCTACAACAGGGGTTGTCCATAGTTAGAAGAATAGGGACCAGGGACACAGAGTACTTCTCTGTGCATGCAACACTAGGTCCTTAATTTTCCCTACTTGAACCGAGCCGCATCATTTTGAGATGCCACCAAATGACCTTACCAGTGACTATGTTGGCTTATGCTACTGCTGATGTGGTAGAACACACTGACCAAGACAGCCTATAGAAGGAAGGGGTTACTCTGGCTTATGGGTCCAGAGGGGTGAGAGTCCATCAGGGTGCAGGCAGAGCATGGCAGCAAGTGGCAGGCATGGTGGCTGGGACAAGAAGCTCATGTCCAAGCCATAGCATAAAGTGGGAGAGCAAACTGAGAGTTGATGAGACTGAAATCTTAAGTCTCGCTCCCAGTGACATACTTCTTCCAGCAAGGCTGTGCCGCTTAAGCCTCCCCAGACAGTTCCATCAACTGGGAACCAATCCTACGGGGGATGTTTTTCATCCAAATCTCCATAGTAACCGTGTTACAGACAAGACCCAACACGTCAGTGAGCCCTGACAAGTGCCCTAGCCCTGTGTCTTGTGGTGTCTCACCACACCTTCTAGCCCCTCTTATGGCAGGTTCCATTACAAATAAGAATGATGGCAGTCAAGGAAGTTAAGTAACCTGTGTAATTTCACACAGCTAGTTAGTCATAGAGCCTGGATTTGTTCTAGAAGACTCCAGAACCCCGAGTCTGGAAGTCGTTGCTGCCCGTTTCCCCGTCGTGCCTGTATTCCACTTGGCTGCCTCTGACTCACAAGGCATGTCCCCTTTTATTGTTGTATCCACTCTTCACAACACTTGTCTGTTTTTCTGCCCAAAGGAAATTTACCCCAAGAAAAATAAAGTGACTCAGGTTATGTAACTGGCAGGTGGGAACCCCAGAACTAGAGGTGGTGTTTCCTAATGGCCTGTTCAGTATTCCTTCTACTGCGAAGTGCCACCCCCACTCACATGGGTTCTGTAACGGTTAGCTAGGATTTCCTCCATGGGAGGGACTAAGTGTGGGGAGCATCATGCCTGTTGTTATTGTGGCTTAGATGAGCAGAAAAGTTTCTGGAGGGGCCCTCTAGGGGTGGTCATCTAGTACAATTTGCATGCTAGCACTGTTGCGCCCTTGGCCTTGGAGGGATGCTGGGGGTGGGCAGCAGGGCTGGAGCAGGCAGCATCCCTGCAAGTCAGAACATGTGGCTGGTATATGGAGGGTTCCCGTGCTCAATCATTTCAATGCATACGTATTTGTTTGTTGAACCCATTGTGTCAAGTGCCTGCAGTGTCACACATAGTGAACAAAAGAGCAAGTCCCCATTCCTGTGGGATTCCCTTTCTACCAGGGAGATAAGACAATGAAAACAGCGACAAAAATGGAGGGGCTAGAGTCAGGTGGACTGGTGCTGGGAGATGACAGTTTTTATGGGGTCAGCAAGGAAGCCTTGGTGGTAAGACTGACATTTGAGCAGAGACCAGAGCAGGCAGGCTATCTGGGGGCAGAGCAGTGGCAGGAAGAGAGTGTGTGAAAGCCCCGGGCAGAAGTATACTCCCTGTGTCTGAGGAGCAGCCGGGGGCCAGCTGAGCCTGAGTGGATTGTCATGTTGTATTTTGTGACCCAGAATTCCTTTATGAGTCAGCTATCTTTAAAAGAACGACAGATCTATTGTAACACACTGCAAACTTGATAGTTTTTTTTTTTGCTAGAGATGGAGAATTTTGAAAATTAAAGCTACCATGATAGAAGTTTTTTTTAATCTGTAAAGTGTTCAAAACAGATGAACGTGAAATGCATCCAGTAATACCCAGAACAGGTATTGCCATTCTTGAAATGACACACAACTCACTATTTTGAAAGTTTAGAAAATTTAAACTCTATCAGAAGTAC